CCTCATTTCATATGTTTTTGCTGTTTGAAAGTTGAAAGATCTTAGAGTTATAGCATGCAAGGCAGACTCTCAATCTCTGAGGAAAGCAATCCCAATCAATCCCCTAACAAATCTTGCCCAGAAAATCAGGTGTTAGTATTGCGATATGTCGGAAATGGCTTGAAGTCATACAGTAACACATTTATTTATTTACGACATTTATATGCCATCCTTCTCACCCCGAAGGGGACTCAGAGCAGCTTAAAAGTTATATGTACATACAATATATTATGTTATTAGCATAGGATAATATTAGTATTATATATTACTATATTGTACTATACCACTATACTGTAATATTATTAGTAATATTGCATGTATTATAGATATATAAAATTATATTGTATTATTATTAGTATTATCTTTATTGCATTATAATATTATCAGTATATGTGTACACAATATATTATTAGCACAGCACAATATTAGTATTATATATACTTTATTGTACTATATCACTATATTGTAATTATTAGTAATATTGCATGTAATAGGAAATATATAATTATATTATGCACCTCATTGATAATGATATCACTGCTGATCTATATAGCATATTCATTTTGAACACCACATGGTTTTATATTCCATGCTGTTTCTTGTTTCTATAACATGGCCTAGAGATATGAGGGAGCTGCTTGAACTAGTGCTTGAAGTATGTGATGGGCTGAACTAAAGTGAGGAAACAGTAATTGAATGCATGCAAGTTAAAAATATGATTGTTCTGTAATTTGGGTTGCTGTGGACTTTTCGGGCTGTATGGCCATGTTCCAGTAGCATTCTCTTTTAACATTTTGCCTGCATCTGTAGCTGGAATCTTCAGAGGTTCTGTAATTATTATTTTTTTAATTTTACATATCTACATCAGTTGGAAGAGATTGCACTTTCTTTGCAGTCTTGGTTGTTTCTGCTTGAACTGGAGATGTGTGAAGATGCATAGATTGTCTTGTAGACAGGATCACATTTCACCAAATTATTGTGATTTGTTGACAGATGTATGTCCTTGAAAAGTATGATCTAGTTATGGTGATTTGTGCATTGGAGTAGAATCGTATGACTCAGGCAAAACTCCACAGTGTTCAGTGGGTGTACTGCTTACTAAAACCATTTAGTATAATACATTAGAGTACTATAATGAAGTTTGCACAACACTGCTTGTGAAAAATGTTGAGAAACTAAAGGGTTATACATTTGTTCCCCCAGATGTTAATGTATTTCAGATGAGATCAGAGTGAAGAGAGGAGCCAGGAAGGCAGTTCCATCTTGCCTCCTGCACTGTGCTTATAATATAATATATTTTGTGTGTGTGTGTGTGTGTGTGTGTGTGTGTGTGTGTGTATATATATATACACACACACACACACACACACACACACACACACACATTTATATTCCGCCCTTCTCACACCGTAGGAGGCTCAGGGTGGAGTACAACATATATACAGCTAACATTCAATGACACAAAACCATAAATATATACGAACATCACTTATATTCACGTTAAAAATTGCTTAAAAACCATCTCAGGACATCATTTTGCCTCATTGCACTACCCCAAAGGTTTTAGCCCACAGCCAGGTCTTCACCATCCTTCTGAAGGACAGGTGAGAGGGGGCTGATCTAATATTGCCAGGAAGGGAGTTCCATAACTGGGGGCAATCACTGAGAAGGCCCTGTCTCTCGTCCCTGCCAAACACGCCTGTGATTATCAATATATATAATATTGATAATATTATAATGATAATATAACTGATAATATTATAATGTAATACAATATAATTATATAATACTACTACTACTAATATATTATAATTATATATTTTATATTAAATGTAATATTACTAATAATATTACAGTATAATGTTATAGAACAATGTAATATATAATATTAATATTGTGCTATGGTAATAATATAATATATTGTATTTACTTGTAAGCCACCCTGAGTCCCCTTCGGGGTGAGAAGGGCAGCATATAAATGTCATAAATAAATAATAAATAAAATATAACAAATTTGCAACAGCTTCATTAACTCCCATTTGGTTTCTAGGTTCCATCACTGTAAGTGGCATTAAAACCTTAACGGCTGGGCTTAATGAACTTTAAAGCAGTCTTTTCCAACCTTTCACATGTTTTGAACTGGACAGCATCAGCCTTAACTAAAATAACCAGTTATGACTGGTTCAATAAATCTGGAGGACTCCCCACTGTCCCTTCTTCTCTTCTGTCAATTTTCTGACAGCGATTGAGCCAGGGCTCCTTGAGGAAAAACCCAGCGGGTGCTTGATGTGTGACTTGCAGTCTTTGCCCCTTTATCCCTCAAGCAGTAAGCATATGCAAACACAGGTATTCACGCAAACAAACAAAAAATCTGAAAAATTTCCTGGTCCCAAAAGACCTGTAGTAATTGTCACGAGGAACGTGTGGGAAATTAGTATTATTGTACCATTTCTCAAAAGTTTCCTCTGTATATCCTCCAACCATGTTTTGATTCCAGTGATTTTTTTTCAGCGCAGTGTGAAAAATGTAATTATATGCTACACGTTTCTGTATATAAATATTGTTTAAAATGAGTCAGTTTGCCTATTGGATTTTCTTTGACACATGTTGCAATGGGATAATGGAAGATAATTGGACATGTTGTTTCCCCTCAATATCAAATAAGATTCAAATAAACAATTTTGGAAGGTGGCAGCGTCTAGAAATATGTAGCCTGTTAAACAGGTCCTGCAGTGGTGGGCAAAAGATAATTTGCTTTCAGCGAGAGTATCTGGGGGAGGGGGAGAAATTCTTTGTTGTTGTCGTTATTGTTATGTTTATTTATAACCCGCTTTTTCTCTCCACAAGGGGACTCAAAGTGGCTTACATTGTTACACAGTTATCTTGATGATGATGATGATAATAATAATAATAATAATCTTTATTTATACCCCGCCACCATCTCCCCAACAGGGACTCGGAGCGGCTTACATGGGGCCAAGCCCGAACAACAAATTACAATATAAAAATACAAATTGCAGTAAAATAAATAACATAACATTAAAGTAAAAAACATCAAAACATAAAAAACAATATATACAAAACATAGAAACCAAACATAATGACAGAGAGTGGGACGCATGTACATAAAATGATTTAAAAACTCCTAATCAATTAGGGAAATCTATTTAGTTTGTGTTATTACACAGTTACATTATTCCTTACAAATAGCAGTTGACTGTCCTGTAATGCCAATACGATAGAAGCCACTGCACACTGATCTGCCCTCAATTTGTCATTATTATCTTCTTCTCCTCCTTTATTTGGGGGATTCTCTACTACTTGCCACAAACTGTCTTTTAACAGATTTTTTTTTCATTTTAAATGACCATGTGGCATAACTGCTAGCATTCAACCTTTCAAAAGGTAGTCCACTTGCTTGAAATACCATCACCATATTTCATCAGCTTCACAATGGTCTGAACTGGGCTATACTAGGCCCATAACCTTTGTTGGGTTAGTGGGCTTATCAACAAAAGACCCTTCTCATAAATGTACAACAGAGTAACTTATTAGCAGCAGCATTACTCATCACCAGTAGCCCAAAGTGATGAAAAGAACAAAAACTCACAGACCAATGTTACCTCTTCCATGGGAGGCTTTTCTTTGTAATAAAATAATATAGTTGCACTGTTTACAACAGGGGTCCTCAAACTAAGGCCCGGGGGCCGGATACGGCCCTCCAAGGTTATTTACCCGGCCCTTGCTCAGGGTCAACCTAAGTCTGAAAGCACACAACAACAACAATACTATCTCATCAGCCAAAAGCAGGCCCACACTTCCCATTGAAATCCTAATAAGTTTATATTTGTTAACATTGTTCTTCATTTTAATTATTGTATTGTTTTAAGTGTTTTTTTGCACTACAAATAAGACATGTGCAGTGTGCATAGGAATTCATTCATGTGTTTTTCAAATTATAATCCGGCCCTCCAACAGTTTGAGGGACTGTGACCTGGCCCTCTGTTTAAAAAGTTTGCGGCCCCTTGGTTTACAATAACAAGCTTTCCACAACACAAAGAAATACATAGTAGCTTTACACGCAGCAACCTTCAACTTGGCTTCTCTCACACAGACTGAGGAGTTCCCTCACTCAGGCAAACTAACACTAACAGGCTTTGACCTACTCACTTTGCTCAGAGCGATGCTAGCTTTGGCCCACTAACTCTAACAGGCTTCATCCGACTAACTCTTTCAGTGCTTGAGTCACACTTTTGTAATAAAAAATACCCTGTTAATTTTTAATATTTCTGACAATTATTATGATGTTTATTTATATCCTGCTTTTTCTCTCCACAAGGAGACTCAAAGTGACTTACATTGTTACACAGTTAGCTTGATTCTAATCTGTTAGAAAAATCTTCAATTTAGTTTGTATGATTACACAGTTACATTGTTACACAGTTAGTGTGATTCCAATCTATTAGGAAAATATTCTATTTAGTTTGTATTTGCGATTTTAATATTTTATTTTATTTTATATTATATTATATGTGTTTCTCCAGACAAGGATTCAACCTTGTCATTTGTAATTTACCTGGACTCTTTTCTGAATATAATGTATCAAATTTAAGATTGTAAACCTGGAGAAATACATTATGATATTGTGTTTTTGTATGCTGTTTTCAGAGCCCTTTCAGTTAAAGAACAAACTGAACATAGTTTAATTTTTTAAAAAGAAGAGAGAACTTCCAGTTAACCAGGCAGGAAAGCTTCTCTACTCTATAAGAGTTCTTGCTTCATGGTTCCTCTGTAGTACAATGGACCATAAACAATGGTGGCAAGTGGAGACAGCCAAAAGCTGTGGGCTAGTTATTTGCAATATTGTTTGTTTTTTTAAAAAATGCAGAGATGTATTATAAATTTTAACATCAAATTAGTTGAAATGTTATTGTTCATAACTTGCTCTTTTTTTAAAACAGAGTTGTCTGTGTGGAAAAAGTTCACTCCGTCCTTTACGTCTATATCGTGGATATTCAACATCTGGAGAATCTGGGTATGTCAATTTATGCCTTTTTAAAAATGTCTCAGTTGTTAGATTTATGTAAAAATAGAATAATTCTGCTTTTCGTATTAATGTTCTTATTCAATTAAAAAAAACCATAAGAAGTAAAGCCCATGTCAAATTAGGTGCAAGAGCATCTCCTATACCAGGACTTCTCTTTGGATTGGTGCTTGAATCTGAACTGTTGGGTGAATTCTAGGCAGTTATGTAGACATGCAGCATTGTAATAATTTCAGAATATTAGGTATATAGTATTTGGCATATAGAATATTTGGCATAGAGTATAAATAAACCTATTATTAATAATAATCTTATTTATGTTCTTTTTAAACAGTGTCTCTGCAGGCAAAATTATTGGTGCCAGTGTTTTGTTTGTTGGTGGAGGAGTAGGTGGAACAATTTTATATGCTAACTATGATCCACGCTTTCGGGAAAATGTGGAGAAGACCATCCCTTATTCCAATAACGTCTTTGAAATGGTGCTGGGTCCTCCTCCTTACAGTATTCCAACACCAAAGAAACCGGTAAGTTAATAACACACAATTTCAAATTGTGATTTAGATTTTGTAGCCTTGATGTGTGATGGAAGAAACTCATTTTTAATTATTTGTTGTAGAGTCTGAGTTTTTATATTAACTACAGCAATGACTCTGATTAAATGATCTTAAAAAATAAGGTATGATTTTTTAAAATTCTTGGTAGCTGTATTACAACAGTAACACTGCATGTCATACTATAAGAATAATTTGAAAAAAATCAGAAGAAGACACTAAAAATGGCAACTCTCTTTACCAATATAATGATAGTTGTATCAATCCTACAAAATTTAGCAGCCAGACAGATTTTCTCAGCTGGAGGAACAGTTCATTTTTAAAGTGTAACTACAGCCAAACACATATACATTTTTCAGCTTTGGATAGCATAGGGAAAGGGTTAACACCTCTGTGGTGTTTGTTTTGCTATCTGTGCCCCTGTTCAGAAGATTTCGTCTCTCTTTCTGTCGCTGTGCTAATTGGATTTGGAAAAAAATGACTTGTCGTGGAACCAAGGATTGGTGATAAAGCTTCAGTTGAGACACCTTTTTCCCATGGTTCCTTTTGCCAGAGTAAATTTCCCTTCCGAGAGGTAGATTTCTCTCACGTCTTGTTTTTTTGCCCCGTTCTTAATTATGAACGAGTCAGGGACCGCCTGCATTTAGATTAAGTATGTGTGCTGTGCTTGAAAACTCCTAGGTCTGATCCCTTAGTTCAGTGTTTCTCAACCTGGGGGTCGGGACCCCTGAGGGGGTCGCGAAGAGGTGTCAGAGGGGTCGCCAAAGACCATCAGAAAACACAGTATTTTCTGTTGGTCATGGAGGTTCTGTGTGGGAAGTTTGGTCCAATTCTATCATTGGTGGGGTTCAGAACACTCCTTGATTGTAGGTGAACTATAAATCCCAATATCTACAACTCCCAAATGTTAAAGTCTATTTTCCCCAAACCCCATCAGTGTTCACATTTGGACATATTGAGTATCCGTGCCAAGTTTGGTCCAGATCCATCATTGTTTGAGCCCACAGTGCTCTCTAGATGTAGGCGAACTACAACTCCCAAACTCAAGGTCAATGCCCACCAAACCCTTCCAGTATTTTCTGTTGATCATGGGAGTCCTGTGTGCCAAGTTTGGTTCAATTCCATTGTTGTGGGGTTCAGAATGCTCTTTGATGTGAGCTATAAATCCCAGCAACTACAACTCCCAAATGACAAAATCAATCCCCCAACCCCACCAGTATTCAAATTTGGGCATATTGGGTATTTCAACCAAATTTAATCCAGTGAATGAAAATACATCCTGCAGATCATTATTTACATGGCGATTCATAATGTTAGGGTTATGGTTGGGGGGTCACCACAACATGAGGAACTGTATTAAGGGGTCGCGGCATTAGGAAGGTTGAGAACCACTGCCTTAGTTATTAAGTTGTGGATGATAAAAGCTGTTGTTTGAAAGTCTACCACAGCCATAGTTTGATAGTTTTCTTCCAATCTACAACAATACAGAGCAACTACAATTAAAATGACTAAATTTATCACTGAAAAACCATATGAGACAATAGAGGTAATTAGTATTTAGACTTACAGTATTAAAATATGAGAGAAGAGTACAGTGTAAAAAGTGTCAGAAATCTTTGTAGAGGTCACCTTTTAATTACCTCTCATCACAAGTGTATGTTATGTTTCAATACCTCTGTGAGAAAACCGACAGAGCAATGAGTTATTTGGGATCCATTACACTGGCCAAAACACATGTTGGTGCCTCAAATGTTAGACCTGTTTGTGGGTATATTTGAACTGCTGATTCCAAAAATGGCACCAGTTTTCAAATATATATACATAAGTAAAGGTAAAGGTTTCCTTGACATTTAAGTGTAATTGTGTCCAACTCTGGGCGGTGGTGCTCATCACCATTCCTAAGCCGATGAGCCATTGCTGTCTGTACACACCTCCTAAGACATGTGGCCATCATGACTGCATGCAGCGCCATTACCTTCCCACCGAAGTGCTACCTATTGATCTACTCACGTTTGTATGTTTTCGAACTGCTAGGTTGGCACAAGCTGGGGCCAACAGCGGGAGCTCACCCTGCTCCCTGGATTCAAACTGCTGACCTTTCGGTCAGTAAGTTCTGCAGCTCAGTGGGTTAAACCTCTGCGCCACTGGAGGGGGGGGGGGCTTATTTATAAATAGCTGTTAGTTAATAAGTCAGGTAAAATATTTTAAGAATTTTAGGTTAGTGATTAGAAATTTTGTAAAGAAAAAGCAACCATTCAAAGTGATAATGTAGTCCAAATAAGTTGTTCCTCATATTTAAGTTTAAATATTAATTAAAGCAAACGTTTCCCCCACTTATTTCAAATGCCTGAAATATTTTGTTTAATTGTGTACTTTACTCATGCACATTTTAGTAGTTTGCCATGTTTGCATGTTTTTCTCCCACAGATACAACCAGGTCCACTAAAAATTTCCTCTGTAGCAGAGGTAATGAAAGAATCTAAACAACCTGCTATCAAATCTCAAAAGAGTAAAACAGAGGTACCTTCAGCTGCTAGTGAAGATAAAAAAGGTAACATGATGTCATTATTGTGCATTTTTCATATATGTTATGTGGGAAATTCATATCTTATTTATGGAGCATTGTTTCTGAAATTAACTGTTTACAAATAATCTAGTTCATTCAAGAAGGGTTCCTTATAGAAAGAAAGTTTTACAACATTAAGAAACATGCTTAAGATTGTATATATGGGAAAAGATTACAAAAAGTAGAAGAATTGCATGCTTGTATCAGGAGGTCAGAATCTTTAAAATATTTTCCTTTCTATTCAGAAGTCAATCGAGATTGTTTTCCCATTTCTGGAATAATTGTGTTTTGTGGTTGTAATTTTCATTTGCTTATGTTCACAGCCCACTCTGAGGTCGCACAGATAATCTCAGCAACAGGTGAAGCTGTGTCAGTTCCAGCTCCAGGGATACAGGAAAAGGATCAAAGCAAAACCCGTGCTCATCCTGAAGAAAAACACAAGCCTTCCGACTTAGGTAGTATCTGTAACAAAAACGGAGTTTCTGATGACAAAAGAATTCTACAAACCTAAAGCTGGATCTGTTTTGGACTCATTCTTCTATATTTTTGGGAGAAATATTCATTCAGAGTCTGGCTAAAGATTTCATTTAGTGCTTTGTCCTAAAACATGCATGTAATCCTTTCATCAGCATGATGTTTTCATGTAAAATTGTTTCTTTATTTAATTCGTATCCCAGCTTTCTCCTGATAATGGACTCAAAGCAAACAAAGTACTGTGGAAACTTTTTACTGTAAATGTTTAAAAACATTTAAATTGAAATTATATTTAAAGAACAAAGTTAAAGCAGTTTAAAAGGTATTTGAAACAATTATAAACGTAACAGCACTGCAGGTCACATCAAAAGATCTTTATGTCTCATGAATTAAGAACCAAAGGGCTGCCTTAATACAGGGTGCAGCAGCATAACTTCCTTTTTTTAAATGCGTGCCATTCAGTCAGTTGAAGATGTATCGGAGCGTTAGTGGTCTCGTTCAAGAGGCGGGAGTATAAAGTTTTGTCCTGACACAGTTCAGTCGCCATCATGCATTGGAACAGTGAGGAGCGTGCTTTTGCCGTTGAGGCCTACTTTTTTGAGTGGATGTTCTGTGATTGCAACCCAGTGCGCCTTTCAGAATCGCTTCAATTTAGCCCCATTGGCCCCTGTCCCAGACCGGAAATCAATTGTGACATGGGTCACTACATTTAGACAAACTGCAAGTGCGACAAGACGAAGAACTGGAGTCCCTCGGCCCATTAGATCACCTGAGAACATTGAGGCAGTGATAGCTTCAACGTTGCGATCACCACGCGTTCTGCGCGCAAACATGCGTCTGCCCTTGGACTTTCCGATTGTTCTGTGAGTAGAATTCTTCATGATGATCTTCATTTCCATCCTTACAAGATGCCGATTGTGCAGGAACTTTCTGAACGTGACTTCCATTCTCGGAGGAACGCGTGTGAGGTTCTTCTCAGTCATTCCTGAGGACGCTATTTTTTTTATTTTTTTTAGTGATGAAGCCCATTTTCATTTGAGTGGCCGGCCCGCCCTCCAGATTTGGCCCCTTGTGATTTTTTTCTATGGGGTTTTTTGAAATCCCATGTTTATGTGAACCGTCCAAGGACCCTACAAGATTTGAAGACCAACATCCAGGAAGAAATTGCCAACATAACGCCTGCTATGCTGGCAAGAGTCATGACAAACGCCAGAAATCGGTTTACTTAGTGTATGGAGAATGGGGGATGTCACCTACCTAATTTGATCTTCAGAACTATGTAAAACAAAACTTTAGGAATGCACTTACATTATAAAAAAATTCTGATTCATACAATGGGTTTTATTACGTTTTGAAAAAAGGCAGTTATGCTGCTGCACTCTTTAGAAAGTCATCTCGGGGGTGCTTTGAATGTAATTTTCCTGCTTCTTGGCAGGGGGTTGGACTGGATGGCCCATGAGGTCTCTTCCAACTCTATGATTCTATGAAAGGCCTTTGCCTGCTAGTGAAAAAAGTGCAGAGAAGGGACTGTCCGAGCCTCCTGTTTATGTTTTTGAAAAATTAAATAAGGAAGGGTTTTCCTGCTGATGAAAACTGAGGAGTGAAAGGGAGCCCACACCTTCTGTGGAACGTCATTCCAGAATTTGAGAGCTGTCACAAAGAAGGTGCTCTCTCATGTCTTGAACAGATAGGTCTGTATTGACAATGGGACCAAGAGAAAAATTTCACCCAGTGATCATAACATTTTGTGTGTGCAATGCATGCTCTTTCTCTCTCACACACACACACACACTTTAAAAAAAATGAAGGCTGTTGTGGCCCCAAAAACAGCTTTGGGAGCCACATACACTTAACTCACCCCTGAAATGAGTCCTTCTCTCCATCTCCAAGATATAACAACATTCATGATGCTCTTCCTAGATAATTTGTTTTCATTGTGAAATGATAGTCCGTATGATCAAATACCATCACCATGTACAGACTGCTTTTGTCATTTAACAGAGAAATAATGTGTATTGATCAACTTTTGTTAATCTTGGTTATACTTTCACAGTAAAAAAAAAGAGTTCAACAAAAATTTAATTATGAAATGTCTATACTTAGGGAAAGAACAAATGCACAAAGATTTACCTGTTGTAAAAGAGAGGCCACCTGAAGAGGTTGCAGCGCGTCTTGCACAACAAGATAAAGAGGAACAAGCAAAAATTTCAGGTATGCAGGCAAAACAGTATTGCCCGGACACTCAGAAAGTCAAGACCGATTAGAATATCACCTGGGCAAGTTTCAGAATTTTTTTTATGAAGAGTGGTTGTTCTATAATAAGTTAAAAACTTTACATTGAGGACAAAAAATATTTTATTATGAGCCAGTTTTTTGCCCACTCAACCATGGTCACAGTAATATCTTACAGTAGTTCAGGTTGTGTAAAAATACACACAGAGAGATTATTATAATCTGCTGTGGAACTGCCTTCTGCAGTGCATATGTAGTAGCCATTCTGGAGACAGAGGATACTGGAAAGCATATCTTTTTCTCCTCTTTAGCACTTGCATCTACCTTGGAAAGTGCTCTGAATAATACTGCACGTGTCACTTTGCAAGCAATTACACTCCAGGAAGCCGCTGTGCAAGCTGTTAACCTTCATGCTCAGAAACTAAAAGAGGCCATGGATGAATCTGAGGTATGTTTTAATTTGTATTCTTTGCGTTATTTGTAAATTGCATGTGATTTATTTCTATTTTGTGCTCTGTTGTGGGTTTTTTGAAAGCTGCTCTGGTAATATTAATGGTGGAAATGAAGTGTTTTTGAAGTTGATTTGATTCATAGGAATTAAGGTACACAGTGTTAGAGGATGTGAAAGAAATTCTGTTACTTTAAAAGACATTCTGTGTCCCCTGTAGTATCTGTGGAATATCATCTGAATGAGTCAGTCAAGGTTTCATGGTTCAACAGCTATACCATATTCCTTCATTATATCTAGACATAGCCATGTTTGCCTTAAAGAGGTGTTTGAATTTAACTATGATCTCATTTGACATTTTTATATCCTTTTTCTTGACACACAATTTGTGTTGTAGGGGTAGCTTCTTACATAATTTTGGTAATCTATATTTCAATTTTTATTGAGTAGTCTATTACCTTTATCTGTGATATTTAGCATCATAGTGATATTTAGCATCATTATATACCTGAGATATTTAGCATCATTATATAATTTTAGGTTCCAAGTGACAGAAAGGCAACTCAGTGGCGAACATTGGAGGAAGCACTGAAGGATCGGAGGAAAGCTGTGGATGAAGCTGCCGATGTCCTTTTAAAAGCCAAGTAAGTAATTTTAACTTTCACGTTGTATTTTTTGACAAATTGTAAAATGATTCTATCAAAATATAAGAAAACATGGATGAAATGGATGTGGAAATGAGGTCATATTTGAATTTCCACGACTGGGATCAACAGGTTCTGTGATGTTCCCATCAGACCAACACCCTTTCCTTTCTACTATACAAATGAATAATTATTTTCCCCAATAGAAATTAATGACAGAATGTTTTACTTGAGGACATGCTTGCATCTGGAGGAAAATATTTCTCCATCCATTGTGTTCTCTGGTCTTCACAGATCGGCTATTATAATAACTTTCACACAGCTGCTCTCTCTCTCTTGTGTGATATTTGGAATCACCCTTTGTACAACGCCTGCTTTTCAGGGTGGTGAGAATTTTGCTGGTTTTACAAATATTGTTCAACTGAGATGATATTTCAGTCCTAGTTGTAATTAGGTATTGCAACACACACATTTTTGTTAAGCTATTGCCCTTTTGTGGAAAAGATTGATGTTTATCATTTTATTTTCTTCAGGAAACCAAGCTGTACTACTTAGAATGTCATATGAAATTCTTTACATTTTTATCTAAATACACCAACCTAGGATTTACCATGCAGTCTTTTTAATGATTGTCATAGTGATGGAGTGTGACGTCTTATTTGTCCTTTCCTGATGTTGAACACATAGTGAATATTGGTATAGGTAATGGGTTATGTCTGGCTTTGTTTAGAGAAGAACTGGAAAAAATGAAAGGGGTGATTGATGGTGCCAAGAAGTCACAGATTTCAGGGACCAAACCACATATTTTGGCTGCAGAAGAGAGCCTTCATCATATGATAGTTGACCTGGACAGTGTGGTCAAAAAGGTAAAATAAGTCAAAATTGTACTTCATGTTAATAGTTTGTGTTATTAATTCTGCAGATAACAAATGGTCCTGCTACTGGCAAGGGATGGATAAAATGTCTTGCTGTTATTTTCTGATGTATAACTTTTTTTGTTGAAATCATATTCTTTTTTTGTTGTTGTTGTTGAAATCAGATGTATTTGTTTGTGCAGTCAAAATACTGAGTGCACTAATTTAGTTCACTTAGGTTAAATGGTATCAAATGTTTTTGTTCTGGACAGAGCACATTCAAGCAAATTCTTTCTATAAAAATAATGTTCAACTTTTGATCCCTGCTTTCATTAAGTAACTGACATGCTTCTGTGATTTGATTTCTACTTTTAATTCCAGTTGAATATATGATATCATTTATTTTTATATACAATTCTATATTTTATGTATAATTTATTTTTTTGATTGGGAAAACTGGACATTGAAGAAAAAAATGAATAAACTGAGGATGACATGACAGAAAAAAATGGAGTGCTGGGAAAATAATCTTTGGGTACCATGGACTTATAAAAAGATAACTGAATGGGTCTTAGAGCAGTGATTCTCAACCTTCCTAATGCCGTGACTCCTTAATTCAGTTCCTCATGTTGTGTTGACCCCCAACCATAAAATTATTTTCGTTGCTATTTCATAACGGTAATTTTGCTACTGTTATGAATTGTAATGTAAATGTCTGATATTCAAGATGTATTTTCATTCAATGAACCAAATTTGACACAAATACTCCATATGCCCAAAATTGGGGTGTATTGTTTTTGTCATTTGGTAGTTGCAGTTGCTGAGATTTATAGTTCACCTACAATGAAAGAGAGCTGTGAACTCCACCAACAATGGAATTGAACCAAATTTGACACACAGAACTCCCATGACCAACAGAAAATACCGAAAGGGTCTGCTGGGCATTGACACTGAGTTTTGGAGTTGTAGTTCACCTACATCCAGAGAGCATTGCGGACTCAATCAATGATGGATCTGGACCAAACTTGGCACGAATACTCATTATTCCCAAATGTGAACACAGATGGCGTTTGGGGGGAATAGACTTGACATTTGAGAGTTGTAGTTGCTGGGATTTATAGTTTGCCTACAATCAAAGAGCATTCTGAACCCCACTAACGACAGAATTGGGTCAAACTTCCCACACAGAACCCCCATGACCACCAGAAAATACTGTGTTTTCTGATGGTCTTTGGCGATCCCTCTGACACCCCCTCACGACCCCTCCTGGGGTCCCGACCCCCAGGTTGAGAAACACTGCCTTAGAGGAAACCAAGTTGGAACTCTCATTAGAAGCAAAATGAATAAACCGAGGCTGAAGTGACAAATTGGAAATGATAATGTTTCATAAAATAGAAGACACTGCGAAAAGAGGGATCCAATGAAAGAAGCCACAGCCCCAAGTCTGAGTGTACAAGATCTGAGCAGGACAGTTAATGGCCAGGCTTTTTGTAGGTCTCTCATTCATAGGGTTGCTGTAAATGAGAGTTGACTTGATGACAAATGACAACAGCAACAAATTACACTGGATGAGTTCTTGGAAAGGTCACATTGTTTTATCGCAGATGCCTGATATTAATATTAAATACTGTTAGGGGAGGAAACACTTGCTTTGAGACTAATCCTCTCCCTTTGGTTTTTGTAGGTCCAGGCTGCTCAGTCAGAGGCTAAAATTGTAACTCAGTACCATGAACTAGTAGCTAAAGCAAGAGATGAATTTCAGAAGGAGCTTGATAGCGTTACTCCAGAAGTTCAGCCTGGTTGGAAAGGTCTCAGTAAGTAACCTGGTTATCTGAACTAACATTTAGATGTCATTATGACAAATATTGGCCCAGACGCCATACACTGTAGTACCATTGCCCGGTCATTTGTGTAGCAAGTGCAGAGGTCTTGAGCTCAGCTTTTGTACAAGTCAGTTACCCACCCACCCCCCCTTACCAGTCTGAAGTAGACAAAAAAGCTGTGTATTTTTATAAAATGATTGGCTACACCTTGAACTGTGAGAATGTGCAGTTCTTTACAGTTCAGTTTTGCAGTGAGCATAATGCCCCAAGAGGAATCAAACCTGGTGTTCCATTCTTTCTACTAAAACATACATTTGAACATGTATTTTAACTTTTAAACATCTCTCAGCAATAACTACCCAATTATTTGGGCATTTAATTTTGGGTTACTGATGTGCTGCATCTCTTTTTAGGTTAGCTCCCTGTTCTTTTTAGCCCTTGTCCATTTTTTCCCTCTATATGCAATTCCTCAATTTACTAGTAGTATTTACTTTGTTTAGCATTTGGGAATCAAAATGAAAGTAAAGAATGTACAAATCTTCGGTCTGTTGATCCCTAAATAATAATATGTTTCTGGTCTTAATATGAAACATAAAAATAAAGGAGTGGTAGTTACTACCTGGCTTCTCATTGGGTGATTCATTATTATATGAGAATATTTGTTTCATTCACTTCTGTTAAGAAGTGTATTCATATTAAGTACATGGAACTTTCTCCTCCTATACTGTCTGTTTGATGACAGAACCTTTCCAGGGACTCAGGTAGAGGATTTTTTGTTAACTTACTACTTGTCCCCTTTGAGGTGTATGTACTAGTGATTAAATGTGGTATAGGTTAAGCTTACCTTATTATACCCTTTTTGATTACTTTTTCTTGCAGGGAAAATATAATAAATAGTTTGCAATTTATTTTTTAAAGCTCACCAAAAAGAGGGATCGAGGGCAGTTGCAAACAGGAAAAGCCTTTGCTTGAGTCAGATGCTTGCATTTCTCTTTGACTACACTCTTTTATCTTGCACTTTGACATGTTCTTTTTATTAATGTGCAAATTGCCTACTTTTTATCTGTGCTTTTGCAGTCTTATAAATGCTTTTAACAGTTTCTGATTTGCTTCTGTAAACGCTAACTTTTCCAAACCTTCATTTCTCTTGCAGAGATAACTGATCTAGGTGAGTTCTTGGCTTGCTTTCCATAAAAACTGTGTTGCTTGTGCACTCTTTTCTCCAAAATGGTGGGATAGTTCTTGCATCTCAGCTAGGTTTTCTATTTCATGTTGTTTTACTTCTGAGAGGGGTTTTTGATTTCGTGTGCTACAAAATTGGATATGGTCTGCCTTAGGCCTTTTCTGCACTGCCATATAATCCAGATTATCTGTTTTATCCAAGCAGATAATCCTAATTATCTGCTTTGAACTGTATTATATGAGTTTACATTGCCATATAATCCAGTTTAAATCAAATAATCTGGATTTTCTATGGAAGTGTATACTAATCACATAGTTCCAAAAATAAGTGACACCCATAAATGATGAGGTGCTCTGAAAGAGGATGTGTGTTCTCTTTCTAAAGGAGTTACATAAGAATTGAATTAGAATCATGGAGTTAGAACAGCCCTCATGAGCCATTGGGTTCAAGTTCCCTCCACCACCACTCAATGCAGGATTGCTAGTAAGAGCATCCCCAGCAGAGAGCTTCTCCAGCCTCCTTGGGGAGGTCTCCAGAGAAGGAGACCTTACTACCACTCTAGGCAATTGGTTCCACTGCTGAACAATGGTTGCTATCAAGAAGTTCCTTATTCTTCAGTTAATGATAATAATTTTATTTCTTACTTGCCTCTCCTCATGACTCAAGGTGGGCTACAACATTGCTAAAACACATAATCATTTAAAACACTCCATAGAATACACATATTAAAACATATTTCCTTAAAATACTCAAAACAATAGTTAGATAAAGAGTGAAAGGTTAAAGTTCATCATTAAGACTGTGTGGGTAGGCCTGCCAGAAGGGATAGGTTTTCACTTCTGACTTAAATTCCAACATTTGATCTAGCTGTTGGAGCTCTACCAGCAGATCGTTCCACAGTCTTGGGGTGGCAGATTAAAAGGTCCATCTGCCAGTTGGGTTCTGGCTGGTTGGAGTAACTGCCCTCTCAGTGCTTGAGGCGGATTATATGGGAGAAGGTGATCCTGTAGGTAACCTGGACCCAAATCATGTAGGGCTTTAAAGGTCAATACCAACATCATATACTTTGCCTGGAAACTAATTGGCAACCAGTGGAGTGACTTTAGGATAGGTGTAATATGCTCACTCCTAGAAATTTCTGTAAACAGCCTGGCTGCCATATTTTGAACCAACTTGAGTTTCTGAACCTCAGTTTCAGTTTGTTTTACCACATCCAACCATTACTGCCTCCAGACATTCATTCAGAGGAGACATACTATTCTTAGCTGAAGCAATTTTTGCGGCATAGATAAATTTATTTATTTATTTACTGTATTTATACTTCGCCCTTCTCACCCCAAAGGGGACTCAGAGCAGCCTTACAATTTACATAATTACAGTTTTATGTGGCAATTCGATGCCACATAAAACAGACATATAATAAAATAAAATAAACATATACATTAAAACAAAAATTTTAAAAAGTATATAAACATTAAAACCAATTATTAAAAACCACATTGATAACACCTGCCCTGTGCCTATGGATGATCTCTCCCAGCAGCTTCATGTAAATATTAAAGATCATTGGGGATAGAATGGCACCTTGTGGGATACCACATAACAGCTCCTTTTTTGAGGAGCAACTATCCCCAAGCAGCACTATCCAGAACCTGTCTGAGAGGTATGACTGGAACCACTGCAACACAGTGCCTCGAGTCACCTCCAGACATTTCAGAATAATGCCACGGTCAATGGTAGGCATAGATAGAGTCATTCAGATAACTCGTTTCTCGTAATAATTTCATTAAAATTACCTTTTTGAAGCAATATCGAAGCTTTTTTAAAAACCGGAAGTCCCTTTGCCCTTCCGAAGCTTTTTCCGCCATTTTTGTTATGACTCAGGAAGTGAGTCGGAAATTATTCAGCTTTTCCTCGCTTCTGGTCCCTGGCCTCGGATCAAGCCAGAGAAGCCAGTTTTAAACCGGAGAAGGAAGGAATTTCCTGGCTTCGGCTCAAGCCAGAGAAGCCAGTTTTAAACCAGAGAAGGAAGGAATTTCCTGACCTCAGCTCAAGCCAGAGAAGCCAGTTTTAAACCAGAGAAGGAATTTCCTGGCCTTGCCTCAAGCCAGAGAAGTCAATTTTAAACCAGAGAAGGAAGGAATTTCCTGGCCTCAGCTCAAGCCAGAGAAGCCAGTTTTAAACCAAAGAAGGAAGGAATTTCCTGGCCTCAGCTCAAGCCAGTTTTAAATCAGAGAAAGAAGGAATTTATTCCGCTTGCTTTTCCCTGCTTCTGGAGTAAAGCAATTACTTTCAAAGTAAAGACCACCCAATGAAACAAGAAATAACACTTTCAAGCCATTAACGAAAGGATTCGGAAGTCTTGGAAGTTTCAAAAAAATTGATTTTTTTTCTGTGAAAATCGGAATTGACTTTAGAATCGGACCACCAGCGCCCCCTACATCCAAAATGAGTTTTGAACATTTTTTTTTATCAACCAAGCCTAGTCGATGGTATCAAAAACCACTGAGAGGTCTAGAGGTACCAACAGGGACACATTCCTCCTGCTGGTGTTGAGACAGAGATCATCCACTATGGCAACCATAGCAGTCTCAACTCCATATCCTGCTCTGAAGCCGGTTTCATGTAATTATAATTAATGATAAATTGTTTCATAGGTGGAACAATCTAAAGACTATATGAATCGTATTATTTGATCGTTGCGATGTACAGATATACTTCAGTTAATGACATAGAACATGGTTCCTGGGCATCGCTTCTTTAACAGTCCTGTTTTTTCTATAATTTCCATTTGGTAGCCAAATGTAACTGTGTTTTTAATATGTGGGGAGTAGTTAGTACAGCAGGTTTATCAGCTTCCTCCTTATGTGTTTTGCTGATCATGCTTGCTGATAGTGAGGAATTCTGGAACTGGCTGCTGTTTACCTTGCTTGTTGTAAATAGGTTCATAGAGTTTTCTTTAATAGCTCAAGCTCTGTGTATTGCATTGTTTACTTACAGCCATGCTCTGGCAACCTGACACTGAAAGTTTTTTTTTCTTCTTCCCTCCTTTGCTGTCTTTACTATACTTTTGCTCCTAAAAAAACAACCTCCAGATCGGGAGAGAATGAGAAAGAAAAGGGGGATGGTTGGGTATAAAACGTGTTCATTAAATTTGTCGGAGACTTTGTTAACAGAGGTATGCTTGCATTCTGAATGCAGTAGAATATGCTGCTGTAATTGACCTCTCAGAAATATGATACGTTTTAAGAAATGTGGCTTTGTTCATGCAAAGAAACTAAGTGTGAAGATCTTGTGTCCTTTGTACTCTTTGCTGTGTATCTAAAACTCTCCTCTTTTCAGCTGGCAAGCTGACCACAGATGACTTGAACTCTCTCATTGCTCATGCTCATCGACGTATAGACCAGCTAAATAAAGAGCTGGTGGAATTGAGAGTCCGCGAAAAGCAACACATTGAGGTAGCCCTGGAAAAACAGAAACTGGAAGACAAAAAAGCTTTTGAATCAGCTGTGGCAAAGGCACTAGAGCATCATAAGAACGAAATCCAGATTGAACAGGAAAAGAAGGTCACTATTATATTTTCAGTTTTCTGGCATTTTGCTGATCACTCTGTATGCATATGCACAACGTATTTTCATGATGTGTATGGGGGAAAACTCAATTTTGTTGACTGTTACGTCTTCTTAATAACATGGCTAGAAACCAATAGAACTTCAAACACTTATGATCCTGTTATCTCATGGCGTATGAAAGGTATTTTCAGTTTGTATTGTCTAGGAATCCTCTGGATATTAACTGGTTTGGTGCAGTGTATCAGGTTTTGGGCAGATATTGTGTTAAGAATTGTCCAATAGCAAGTCTGAGGTTTTTTCATATTCTGGTTACTCTTCAGATTGTATACATTTTCTGCCTTTTACAAAATGTTGGGGACCCTTCACTAAGTGATATGATTGATTGAACATTAATTGCTAATTAATGGAAGAACTACTATATAGTAAGTCCTATCTGCTTCTTATATTTGCTGTCACTCACATCAGGCTTACTGGATAGAAGGCTGTCTGTTCTTGTAAGATACATGCACTTCTATATAAATAAAAATGTAATGTTCATTTGTGGGATTAACATAACTCAAAAACCACAGGACAAAATGACACCAAATTTGGCCAGAAGACACCTAATGGGCCATCGAGTGACCATTACTCATAAAAACACTGAAAAACACAGTGGAAGGGACTTAAAACCCCCAAAAAGCTAAATGATGATACAGTGCATGCATGGAAACAACTCCCCTGACCCCGCCCCTTCCTGCTCAAGGGAAAGAGCAGGCCATACCAACTTTGAGAGGAAAGAAAGAGGTAGAGAAGAAAGGAGAGAAAGATGAAGGGAAAGAAAAAGTCGGGAAGGAAAGGAAAAAGGAAGAGAAAGAAGGAAGGAAGGAGGAAAGGAAAGGAAAAAGAGGGAAGGGATGAAAGCGGGAGGGAAGGAAGGAGAGAAGGAAAGAGACATAGAAAAGGAGGGAGAGAAAGAGGGAAGGAAAGAGAAAAGGGAAGAAAAAAGAGGGAAGGAATGAAAGTGGGAGGGAAGGAAGGAAGAGAAATAAGGAAGGAAAGAGACATAGGAAAGGATGGAGAGGGGGAGGGAGGGAAAGAGGGAAGGAAGGAGAGAGAAAAGGAAGGAAAGAAAGAGGTAGAGAAGGAAGAAGAGAAAGAAGAAATGACATAAAAGGAGAGGGGAGGAAGGAAAGAGGTAGGGAAGAGATCGTGTGGGTTCGTACACAGTGATGCGGTAACGCAGGTAGGCGGGTCCCAGACCGTTCAGGGCTTTGTAGGTAAGCACCTGCACCTTGAATTGGGACCGGAAAATGAACGGCAGCCAATGGAGCTCCTTAAACAGGAGGGTTGACCGCTCCCTGTAAAGAGCACCAGATAACAACCTGGCTGCCGCTCGTTGGACCAATTGAAATTTCCGGGCTGTTTTCAAGGGGTAGCCCCACGTAGAGTGCATTACAGTAATCCAATCTGGTGGTGACTAAGGCATGGACCAGGGAAGGAAGGAACTAGACTGAGGCCACAGCAATGCGTGGCTGGGGACAGCTAGTTAGTTATAAAAAATCAACTACTTCTTTATTCTGGCAGGTTGAAGAAGCCCAAGCAGTTATGGAGGGTGAAATGAGAACTCAGCTCCGTCGACAGGCTGCTGCACATACTGATCATCTAAGAGATGTTCTCCGGATTCAAGAGCAGGAACTCAAGCTAGAGTTTGAGCAGGTAGGAATTTGCACTATTGTTGTGGGAAAATGGTCTTACACTAGGATAGCACATTTTAGCATGCCAGAGCCATATTTTGTTCTAGAATCTACATCAAGCTACACTCAAAACAAGGCATTCTGACACATTTTGTGTTGGTTGACAATGTTTCCAGATTTCATGTGCTTGCCATGTACAGTATTTTCCCCTATAAATGAACAAAACAATATATCTGGGAGAAAGATTTCCTATGGGGCATTTCTTTATTTGTACCATCTAACGTACAGTAATTTACTGAGATTAAAAAAGTTTAATACTGTTTAAAAAAACAAACAAACCATGATACATTAAATTTGAAGGGGCCTACTCTGGTTAGTTAATAAGTGGGCCCCATTTGTGGTAGGTTGAAATTTTTCCGGAGGGGTGTGAATTTATTGTAATGTGGAAACCTCCCTCTATAAAAGGGTACACTTTGTGTACTTGTATTACATATGGTGTTTTCTGTCAGAGGCCCTGTTTGAGCATATCCTTTCTTTAAGGGTGAATTCACACACACTTACTTCCAAAGACATTTTAACTCCTCATGGGACTTGCTTACTCAGAGTCCAGATGCTTGAGCACAGCAGAACTTACCTTTATCTTGCAGCTAGTCTGTACCATTTGTGCTGGAGATATACATGTGAATGCCAACCAAACCAAACTTTTGTTTAAGGAGGCATTGGATACCATTTCAAGCAGTTTTGGGAAAGTTATGCTAACACAAATGTCCATGTGAATTCCTTTTGTTAGTGTTTTCTGCTGTGGGGTCAAGTGTACTTCATTGTGCAGACATTAACATCCTTCTAGACCTGGGAATGTTTTTATTGGAGTTTTCTCTCCCTGAAAGTTGCCTTTTTTAAAATTCATATTTAATCATTGTTATAGACAGGTTTTTTCCTTTTCTTGTTTTCTTCTTTTTATTTACATACATTAACAGCTTACAATGTAAGCAGAACAAGAAACAATAAATATTTTACAAACACATAACCCCACAGTTGAGTTTTCTTGGTAGAAATGTAGTTAGGATTCCATATTTTTTTCTAATTTATTGGCATTGAGTTAGATCCTGATTTTATCATATGAAATTTAATTTAATTTAATCTTTCTTAATTGCTTTAGAACATTCCTTAGAAAGAAAGGATGAACTTTTTAAAGTAATGTTTAATATATTTTATCCATTCAAACAGACACTGATAAATCTGACATTTTTAGAAATTTCACCTTTCGGACATTATCTTAGGTTAATCTCTGTTGTGGATATTTGTTGCTTGGAGGGAGAAGCATATCTGTTGCTACCATTCTAGCAGCTGCAGCATTAGTGCTTTATGTGTTAACTGGCAGGTTTGAGGAAGGAATGTTTGCCAATGAAACCCTGTGGAGAGCTGCAATAAATTGGAATTGACTTGAAGGCAAATAACTCCAAACAAAATCCCAACATCTATTTTGTGTTTCAGGGATTGGCAGAGAAACTTAGTGAACAAGAATTGCAATATAAGCGACTCACTCAGGAACAACTTGACAACTTCACTCTGGACATCAACACAGCCTATGCCAGGCTAAGGGGGATTGAGCAGGCAGTTGAAAGTGAGTATGAGTAGCTTGACAAACTCCACCACAGCCTAAGACAGCATATTTCACTGTCAAACACCTCTGACTTGCATCTTATGAGCTGTATGTTTCTACTATGAACCTTAGTTTAAAGCTGCTACAGTAGAGAATATAATGACTTACATCAGGGGTCTTCAAACTTTTTAAACAGAGGACCAGGTCACAGTCCCTCAAACTGTTGGGAGGGCCAGATTATAATTTGAAAAGAACATGAATGAATTCCTATGCACACTGCACATATCTGATTTGTAGTGCAAAAAACACTTAAATACAACACAATAATTAAAAGGAAGAAATATACACTTATTAGTATTTCAGTGGGAAGTGCTGGGCCTGCTTTTGGCTGATGACACATGATTTGTTGTTTTTGTTATTGTTGTTGTGTGTTTTCAAGTCGTTTCAGACTTAGGTTGACCTTGAGCGAGGGCCGGGTAAATGACCTTGGAGGGCCGTATCTGGCCCCCGGGCTTTAGTTTGAGGACCCCTGACTTACATGATATATCATGAGCTACTGTTGAAGATAACTTGCTAGATTAGATACTTCCTAAGATAATAATAATAATAAACTTTGGGTTGTTGTAGGTTTTTTCGAGCTATATGGCCATATTCTAAAGGCATTCTCTCTTGCATTTATGGAAAGCATCCTCAGTGGTAGTGAGGTCTGTTGGAACTAGGAAAATGGGTTTATATATCTGTGGAATGACCAGGGTGAGACAAAGAACTCTTGCCTGCTGGAGCTAGGTGTGAATGTTTCAACTGACCACCTTGATTAGCATTTGATGGCCTGGCAGTTGTTTGTTGTGGCTTGTTGGTGCCTGGGCTTACAGGCCAATGAATACTCCACCTCATCCAAGATGCAAACAAGCACGAGAGTCAAGACAAGGATCCACCCAGAGGAAAACTGTGCTTGCCATGTATCAAGGGAACCACTGACCGCAGAGGGAAGCTGAGGAGGAAACACAACATACACACTATCTCCAGACCCACCAAGAAAATCCAACAAATGCTTCGTTCAGCAAAGGACAAGAGGGATCCTCTCACCTCTGCAGGAGTCTACCGTATACCATGCAGCTGTGGACAAGTCTACAGAGGGACCACCAAACAGCAGCATTGCCCAAACACGAATCAAGGAACATGAAAGGCACTGCAGACTACTTCAACCAGAGAAGTCAGCCATAGCAGAGCACCTGATGAACCAACCTGGACACAGCATTTTATTTGAGAACACAGAAATGCTGGACCACTCTCACAACCACCATGTCAGACTACACAGAGAAGCCATTGAAATCCACAAGCATGTGGACAATTTCAACAGAAAGTAAGAAACCATGAAAATGAACAAAATCTGGCTACCAGTATTAAAAAACTCAAAAATTACAGCAGCAAAACAACAGAGAGTAAACAATCAGGCACATCAAATCACTCTCAACAAAAGATTCCCCCCAGGCACTTCCAAGCCATTAAATGCTAATCAAGGTGGTCAGTTGAAACATTCACACCTAGCTCCAGACAGACAAGAGTTCTTTGTCCCACACTGGTCATTCCACAGATATATAAACACAATTTTCCTAGTTCCAACAGACCTCACTACCTCTGAGGATGCTTGCCATAAATGCAGGTGAAACATTAGGAGAGAATGCCTCTAGAACATGGCCATATAGCCTGAAAAAACCTACAACAACCCAGTGATTCCGGCCACGAAAGCCTTCGACAATACATAATAAACTTTATTTATATCCCACCACCATCTCCCCAAAGGGGACTCAGGACGGCTAACATTTGGCCAAGATATAAGATCACATATATTAAATAGTTTGAGCAGTATAAAATAGTGATTAAATGTGTGCTCTTTTAAAGTATGCAATGATTTTTGATCACTCTCTTATTGCCACTTAACACCATGGGATTTTATGTTAACAGGTCACTCAGTTGCTGAGGAAGAAGCCAGGAAGGCCCATCAACTGTGGCTTTCAGTTGACGCTCTAAAGCAAAGCTTGAAAACGGCCTCTGGAGACAGCCCCACTGAGCCCTTGGAGGGTGCCGTAGAAGCCATCAAAGCCAGCTGTTCTGACAACACCTTCACCAAAGCCTTAACGGCTGCCCTTCCCCAGGAATCACTCAACCGTGGGGTGTACACAGAAGAGGCCCTGAGAGCACGGTTCCATAATGTCCAAAAGCTGGCTAAGAGAGTGGCATTGATAGATGAAACAAGAAATAGCTTGTACCAGTACTTCTTGTCGTACCTGCAGTCCCTCCTCTTGTTTCACCCTCAGCAGCTGAAGCCACCTGCAGAGCTTGGCCCTGAAGACCTGGACACCTTTAAGTTGCTTTCTTACGCATCCTATTGCATTGAGCATGGCGATCTAGAATTGGCAGCTAAATTTGTCAATCAGCTGAGAGGAGAATCCAGGAGAGTGTCACAGGACTGGTTAAATGAAGCACGGATGACCTTAGAGACAAAACAAGTGGTGGATATCCTCACTGCCTATGCCAGCGCTGTGGGGCTGGGGACAACTCAGGTGGACTGAAATGGGCCAGGCATGCAAGACAATTCAGAATTAATCAAATGGAAAGCAAGATTTATAACAGTTTTGGAGGGAAAAGAATAGAGAGGCCAGGCCTGAAGCGTTTCCAAATCACACCAGAGCCTTGGTGTCACTGGACACGTGGTATTCTGTCTCCTATTACACTTACCACCTATACCTGTTGCATTTGTATCCCTTTTATCTTCAGCCATTTATCATGTCTGGATTTTGAGTTTTTTTGGTGCAACTTATAACAAAATTTAAGTTTCCGGGTATCACTGATCAGGCTTGCGAGTCAACCAAAATAATGTTTATAACCTCTATTACTGATTTGGCACTTGATCTAATTAAAATAAAAAGTGTTTTAAAAAGGACTTGGGTATTGTTTACTTGAAACTTAGAAAGATGGGAAAGAAAACGTATGACAAAATGTACCAGTATTTAAAAACTCAAAAATTACAACAGCAAAACAACAGAGAGGAAACAATCAGGCACATCAAATCACTCATAGAATCATAGAATCAAAGAGTTGGAAGAGACCTCATGGGCCATCCAGTCCAACCCCCTGCCAAGAAGCAGGAATATTGCATTCAAATCACCCCTTACAGATGGCCATCCAGCCTCTGCTTAAAAGCTTCCAAAGAAGGAGCCTCCACCACACTCCAGGGCAGAGAGTTCCACTGCTGAACAGCTCTCACAGTCAGGAAGTTCTTCCTCATGTTCAGATGGAATCTCCTCTTGTAGTTTGAAGCCATTGTTCCACGTCCTAGTTTCCCAACAAAAGATTCCCCCAGGCACTTCCAAGCCATTAAATGCTAATCAAGGTGGTCAGTTGAAACATTCACACCTAGCTCCAGCAGACAAAAGTCCTTTGTCCCACCCTGGTCATTTCCACAGATATATAAACCCATTTTCCTACTTCCAACAGACCTCACTACCTCTGAGGATGCTTGCTCGATCCCGCCTGCCTCACAGGCACGCCTGGTGGGGACGAGAGAGAGGGCCTTCTCGGTGGTGGCCCCCCGGCTGTGGAACACTCTCCCTGTAGACATCAGACAGGCGCCCTCCCTTATGTCTTTTCGTAAAGGCTTAAAGACATGGCTATTCGAGCAGGCATTTAATTAAATGCTACAATTAGTTTTGGCAAGACAACTGGAACGGAATTTGGATTATGAGCTTGGCTATGATTCTACTATGAGACGGAGCGGATCATTTAGTGTAATTATATAATTGTTGTATTGTGGATATGCTGTTTTGTATTGCCTTTTGTAATTTGCCTTTTATATGTTGTACACCGCCGCGAGTCGCCCTAGGGCTGAGAGCGGCGGTCAACAAATGCACCAAATAAATAAATAAATAAATAAATAATATAGCCCGGAAAAACCTACAACAACCCAGTGATTCCGGCCATGAAAGCCTTCGACAATACATTTATACAGAATATTTTCAATATTGAAAAATATTAATGCCTTCGTCAATATTTTAAATAATTTTTTTTAGCATGGAACAAAGTTATGCTGCAGCAAAACATTAGTAAGTAAAGGTGCCACTGTCTCAGCCAACCGGGAGGAAAACTACCAGCATTGTGGATTATTGGAAAGGATATTCAGATCTGTTTGGCCTTTGCAGGAAAATCACTGCATCCACAATTCCATCTAATCCTTATTCTTTTAGTTCCATTTGCAATAAGGCTGAATTGCCTCTAGGTGGCACTGTGGCATACAAATTTAAGATCTAGGCGACAGATCAGTCGTTGAGTGCAACATGTCCCCTTGTGGCTACAGCTAGAATTGCAGTCGTAAATACATTGCTAAGGATTATGTATAATAAGTTTTATTCAAGACCACGGAGGTCGTACCCATCCCATAGTCAAGAGTGAAGGAGGAGCAGTTGCCTTGTCTCCTTCCAGGCTAAAGGAAGGACTGGCGCAACCTCAACATGGCATATAGGTCTTCCAGAAGAACTTGCAAGGTGGAGGGCTTGGAGGATTGGAATTATTTGGATCATCACCTACGTATCCCTCTGTGTCATCCCCATAGTCCTCTGGGGCTCTGGGTACACGGATCTTTGGTCTCTCCTGAGGGTCAGAAGGAAGACAAGGTCACAGAATCATAGCATTGGAAGAGACCCCAGAATATTTATTTATTATTTATTGCTAGCGCTTCTACCCCATCCTTCTCAACCCCCTAGGGGGGACTCAGGGCGGCTTACAAAAGGCACAATTCAATGCCCAACAATTCACAAAATACAATTATTTATTTATTTATTTATTTACTACATTTGTAGACCGCCCTTCTCAGCCCTAGGGCGACTCACGGCGGTGTACAACATATAAAAACCAGGTACAATTTCAACAAAGCAATTACACATCAACAATAAACAACAGCACTATCAATAATACAGTTACACTAAATCATTCGCCACGTCTCATCATTGAATCATCCGAATCTCATTATCCATGTTCCGTTCTAATCGTCATTGCCAATTGTTGCAGCACTTACACAAACGCCTTGTCAAAGAACCACGTCTTTAGTCTCTTGCGAAATGTCATAAGGGAGGGCGCCACTCTGATGTCCACAGGGAGGGTGTTCTACAGCCGGGGGGCCACCACCGAGAAGGCCCTATCCCTAGTCCCCGCCAGGTGTGCCTGAGAGGCGGGCGGGATCGAGAGAAGGGCCTCCCCGGACGATCTCAAAGTCCTCGTGGGCTCATAGGCCGAGATGCGGTCAGACAGGTATTTTGGGCCGGAACCGTTTAGGGCTTTGTAGGCCAACACCAGCACCTTGAATTGGGCCCGGTAGCAAATCGGCAGCCAGTGGAGCTGGTACAGCAAGGGCGTTGTGTGCTCCCTGCGTCCCGCTCCCGTTAGTAACATGGCTGCTGAGCGCTGGACTAGCTGGAGCTTCCAGGCCGTCTTCAAGGGCAGCCCCACGTAGAGAGCGTTGCAGTAGTCCAGGCGGGATGTGACCAGAGCGTGTACTACCGTGGCCAAGTCAGACTTCCCAAGGTACTGGCGCAGCTGGCGCACGAGCCTAAGCTGTGCAAATGCTCCCCTGGTCACCGCTGAAACAATATACAATTTACAATATAACGATAGTTATAACTAATTAAAACAGTCAAATTAAAACAACTATAGCAATAAAATCATCTTGTAGTCAACGTTCGTCAATTCATAAATTCATAATCCATCCAGCATTGTCATTCTCCTTTCCTACTCTGGTCGTCATTGTCTTTTATCCATCTGCCAGCTTACCCAAACGCCTGGTCCCATATCCAGGTTTTTAACTTCCTTCTGAAAGAGAGGAGGGATGTTGATGACCTAATTTCCCTGGGGAGTGAATTCCACAGGTGAGGGCCACCACCGAGAAGGCCCTGTCCCTCGTCCTCGCCAGTCGCACTTGTGATAAAGGCGGGGCCGAGAGCAGGGCCTCCCCTTTTATTTTTATTATTATTATTATTATTATTATTATTATTATTATTATTATTATTATTAATAATAATAATAATAATAATAATAATAATAATAATAAAGGGCTGAATGAATTGAGAAGATAAGAGTCAGGTACTATAGGTAGCATTCAGGAAAATAAGAATTAAAAACTATAGTATATTCTAATGCAATGCCCTGGTGAGGCAGTGAAATCCACTCCAGATTTTAGTCAGAACTTTAGCACTTCTATTAGAAAACGATGAACCTATTTGTTACCGCACTGGAGTCTGAATAAAACCTCAGTATAGACTCTGCTCTGATAAGGGGAGATATGCCCAGTTAAATGCGCAATTCCAGAGGTTAGCCAGAAGAGACAAGGAACTATTTTTAAACAAGCAATGCATGGAAGTGGAAAAAGACAACAGAATAGGAAGGACAAGAGACCTCTTCCAGAAAATTAGAAACATTGGAGGTAAATTTCAGGCAAAAATTGGTATGATAAGAAACAAAGATGGCAGGGACCTAACAGAAGCTGAAGAGATCAAGAGAAGGTGGGGAGACTATACAGAAGATCTAGATAACAATATCGAGGATAGCTTTGACGGTGTGGTGAATGAATTAGAACCAGACATCCTGAGGAGTGAGGTTGAATGGGCCTTAAGAAGCATTGCTAACAACAAGGCAGCAGGAGACGACGGGATCCCAGCTGAACTGTTTGAAATCTTAAAAGATGATGCTGTCAAGACTGGAAAAAATCAACTTATATCCCATACCAAAAAAGGGAAATGCGAAAGACTGCTCAAACTTCCGTACAGTGGCCCTTATTTCTCATGCCAGTAAGGTAATGCTCAAGATCCTGCAAGGAAGACTCCAGCAATACATGGAGCGAGAGTTGCCAGATGTACAAGCTGGGTTTAGAAAAGGCAGAGGAACGAGAGACCAGATTGCCAATATCCGCTGGATAATGGAGAAAGGCAGGGAGTTTCAGAAAAACATCTATTTCTGCTTCATTGACTATTCTAAAGCCTTTGACTGTGTGGATCATAATAAATTGTGGCAAGTTCTTAGTGGGATGGGCATCCCAAGCCACCTTGTCTCTCTCCTGAGGAATCTGTACAAGGACCAAGTAGCAACAGTCAGAACTGACCACAGAACAACAGACTGGTTCAAGATTGGGAAAGGCGTACGGCAAGGCTGCATACTCTCACCCAACCTCTTTAACTTGTATGCAGAACACATCATGCGATGTGCGGGGCTTGATGAATGCAAAGCTGGGGTGAAAATTGCTGGAAGAAACATTAACAACCTCAGATATGCAGATGACACCACTCTGATGGCTGAAAGCGAGGAGGAGCTGAGGAGCCTTCTAATCAAGGTGAAAGAAGAAAGCGCAAAAGCCGGGTTGCAGCTAAACATCAAAAAAACCAAGATTATGGCAACAAGAATGATTGACAACTGGAAAATAGAGGGAGAAAATGTGGAGGCCGTGACAGACTTTGTATTTCTAGGTGCAAAGATTACTGCAGATGCAGACTGTGGCCAGGAAATCAGAAGACGCTTACTTCTTGGGAGGAGAGCAATGTCCAGTCTCGATAAAATAGGAAAGAGTAGAGACATCAGACTGGCAACAAAGATCCGCCTAGTCAAAGCCATGGTATTCCCTGTAGTAACCTACGGATGTGAGAGCTGGACCTTAGGGAAGGCTGAGCGAAGGAAGAGAGCTTTTGAGCTGTGGTGTTGGAGGAAAGTTCTGAGAGTGCCTTGGACTGCGAGAAGATCCAACCAGTCCATCCTCCAGGAAATAAAGCCCGACTGGGAAGGATACTAGAGACAAAGTTGAAGTACTTTGGCCACATCATGAGGAGACAGGAAAGCCTAGAGAAGACAATTATGCTGGGGAAAGTGAAGGCAAAAGGAAGAGGGGCCGACCAAGGGCAAGATGGA